TTTGCTCATCTAGCTAGTAGTTAACATGAAAATCAGATAATCAAGGCAATGGTCTCTGAGGAAAATATCGCAGCAGACCACATAGCTTAAGAACAGTAACTCTGTTGCATATCCCCAGATTATACTTTTTTCAGTATGTTTTGGCTTTCGACAACTTTCCTTACCTCATTTGAGAATAACCCTCCAACTGCAGATAAACCAAGAAGCACATCAGGCTTAACTTCTCGAACCTAGACAGATGAAATGAAACAGAAAACAGTTAGTTTCTTGCTAGTATTAAGCAGGATGTTTTATGAGATAGAAGTTCTATCAAATATTAAACACATTTGCAAATTAGATTTAGTCTGTATACTTGATGACATAATGATTAAAAGAATCACAGACCACTTCGACAAGACTTGCTCCTTCTTTTAATCCCTGACGCTCCATCTCTTTAAGCTTCCTAGCAAACGGCAGAGCCTCTGGGTCAATATCTTCTCGTCCTTCAGTGATAAGACCCTGATTAAGTGCAACAATAAGAGTTATCAACTTAGTTCTTAAAGCTATTTCACCAAAACAAATACCAGGAAAAAAAAAGGATGATGAACTGATTTGGGAAGTAATAAAACGTCTCATGAGTTCCATAAGCTGAAAATCATTATCACTTCTATGGAGTAATACCTGAGCATCAACCACCCAAAATTGACTTTGTGCACTATCAAACGCAGTTTCATTATTTCCCAACATCCGTGCCATCGTCTTCCTTGCAGCATTTAGAACACCAATTCCCGCACTGAAAAATCAAAGATTTTTACAAGGAAGCTCAGAATTCTGATATAACTATTCTTAGCTACATCATGATTCCTTTCATTAAATGCAGCATTTAAAATCACATCAAATTGGACTAATGCAGTGATGATGCACTGGAAGTATCCATCTGTTAAATCTCTTCAAACAACACTCAAAAGGAACAAATAAACGAAAGATCCCTGACCAATAAATAAATAAACAATATTACCAACACCATTATTTACAACTTAAAATATCTGGTAAACTAGAAAACACTAGAAAACAGGAAAGACAAGAAAAATAGCAACAGAGAACGGCTTACCTTCCAGCACCAGCAACAACAATCTTCATCTTTGGAAAATCAATCATTGGTCGCCCCTGTGCTCTAACTGCTCCAAGAAGACCAGCAATCGCAACCCCTGCTGTCCCCTAAGCCGGATCATGAACACGTAATAATCATAACATGAAAACGAGGATTTTAGTATCAGCATTTAGATTTTCAGTTCCCTTCCTACTGACTCTATAGGGCATCTGGTCATATTTACGAATAACTAATGAATGATATGTGCTGGTTTGATCACATAATAGCCCATAGACAAATGCCAGGCAAGTTAACTAACACATCGACCTAATATAGGTACTACAGTAACAAGTAATGGCAATTCATCGTCACAAGAATCATTTGAAGGGGGAAGAATCATTACCTGTACATCATCATTAAACATTCGATAGCTGTTTCTATACCTCTGCAATAATTTGAAAGCCCATTTGCTCTGGAAATCCTCAAACTGTGGGTAGAAAAATATTAAAATTTCATGATAAGAAACATTTGATATACCAGAGATCTATGAAGCATCAGTTACCTGCACAATAACATGTGGCCACCGAGTAAATACTGCCTCCATAAATTCATCAATTACTTCGACATATTCATCATCCTCTAAACGATGTTGCTGCAGACCCAAGTCTGTCAGCAAAGAAAAACACAGAAAGAATGATTACATGACAGATAATAAGCTATTATCGTATTACATGTCTATTAACGATTAGGAATCCAAAACCATCATGGACAAAAATACTATGTCGTACAACCAAGTTATCTTGCTTCAGCGGGAAAAACATACACAATACGATAAACCATTTACATTTAAAAAAATAAAAATAAAAAATAATCTCAAATACCCACTCGCTACCTCCTTATGTAAAGAGATAGATAATCAGTGTTCTTCACCATACTAAAATCTCAAACATCAGCAAACAGTTATACTATATGTATCGGAAAGAAAAAAACCGTTACCCTATCTCTGTCATCATCTAATAATTGACTTTAGAAAAGGTAAGAGGTGCAAATGAATCTTACACATGGGGTCCTTGAGTAGTTTTTCATTGTTTGTTCCAACATCAATCATGACAGGAAGTACCTAAACCAGCATTTGCTCACAAGTATTGTATCATGTCATCATTGAAATAAGTGGGGAGAGGGGAGAACTAATAAAATAGAGGATGCTGCAAGTACCCGTTGAGGATTTATTCCAGCTGCGGCGACATATAAATCGAGCTTCCCAACAGATATACCAATTCCATGAATACCCAGATCTCCAAGACCCAAAATCCGGCTTCCATCGGTAACAACAATCATATCAACCTAAATGTAGAGTGACAACATAACATCAGAAAACTAATGATCACTAAAAATATATTAGTTCCTTGGTATAATAGAGACGATAAGAAACAGAGGGTAGTATGGGTTTGGATCAGTCAGCCAAACACAGTTAATATATCTTAAGCACAGTGTCAGATATATGGAAAACCTGTTCAGCAGGCCAGTTGTAAACCATGGACATCATTTCACCACGATCTTCAGCACTAAAATACATTCCCCTTGGCCTCCTAAACAACCCACTGTAGTTCTGGCAGACAAGACCAACCGTTGGAGTGTAAACTATTGGCGCATATTCCTCAATATTGGCAATCAAAACCTAAACCACATAT